GAGAGAACAGAGATAGACAAGAGAGAGACCATGGAGAGAGAGAGAGAGAGAGAGAGAGCAGAGATAGACAAGAGAGAGACAATGGAGAGAGAGAGAGAGAGCAGAGATAGACAAGAGAGAGACCATGGAGAGAGAGAGAGAGAGCAGAGATGGACAAGAGAGAGACCAGAGAGACACCAGAGAGAGATCAGAGAGAGAGAGCCCAGAGAGGGAGAGACAAGAGAGACCAGAGAGAGAGACACCAGAGAGAGAGAGAGACCAGAGAGGGAAAGACAAGAGAGAGACCAGAGATAGACAAAAGAGAAACCAGAGAGAGAAAAGATAAAAGGAGACAAGAGATAGACCAGAGAGAGAGAGAGAAGAGAGAGACCATAGATAGAGACCAGAGAGAGAGACCAGCAATAGAGACCAGAGATAGACAAGAGAGCGAGAGACCAGAGAGAGACCAGAGAGAGACAACAGATGCTAACATATACCTACACTTTGCTTGCACACAGTACTTTATACTTGCCTCTGATTTTGCTAAATCTGAAACTTTTTCACTTCTTTTCATTATTATAATTTTCAAGATAGAGATTTCATACTTGTGATCGATGCTAGAGTTAGACATTTATTTTTTATTTTTATTAGTATAGAGCTATTGTTCACTTTTCTTGTGCCGTGTGCTCCTCTTTCCTACTGTTCTATAACTTGTGATGGAACACTGAAATTTCCCCTCTGTGGGACGAATAAATTAATCTTAATCTTAATTTTAATCTTAGATAGGCCCCGGAGAAAGAGACAAGAGCGAGGCCAAAAAAAGAGACCAGCAAGAGAGAGACCAGAGAAGTACAACCTTTTTTATAACCGTTCAATTTTATCCAATATCTATTCTTCTTGTGTTTTAAAACCCATACAGCTGTCCCGGTCTACACACAACAGCCACATTGGACCTAAGTCTGCTCATTTAAGTCCGTTTTTCAGTTTTTCCTACTGTTATTATCATCATATGTCTGTTTTATGGACCACCTTAAAGAGTGTATAACTGAGGCTTTCACTTCCTCATAGATAAATAAATACATATTCGCCTCCAGGCAGTACCAACAAGAGACATCGGCATAATTCAAGAAAAAACGAAACCACAAAGATAAGGGCGTGCGAAACCTCCCGGGCCTCGAGACAACTACGAAACAGTTACATAACACAACACTACAGTAATTATCCTGCTGTGTTTTTTGGGAAATATTTCCTTGTGTCGACAATATGTATAAAACTGAACGGACACACACACACACACACACACACACACAAACCTGCAGGTGGGCGACTTAAGTGAAAAAAAAGGTTGCAGCCGGTATCAACTTGGGATATTTTCTGTTCGTTTTTCTCTCTACCTTTGCCGAGATCTCCCTGGCGGCTTTCCCCTGGATCAATACTACACAAGAGTTGAATTAGACCCGGGCCTGGACGCGGCTTTTACCTTTTGGCGGACCCGAAATCTCCCCTGAACATTCCTTGTCTTTCCGGCGAGTTAACCAATAAGTGGATGAAATGAGACAGAAAAGAGCAGCTGTCTTTGCGGTTTCTTATCTATGCTTTTTTTTTTTTAATATATTTTTGTCCCGGATTTCTCCATCGCTCAGGGCTCTCCAAGTCGCGCTATCGGCCTGGGCCTGAAAGAGACGCTTGAGCAGAAATGAAATGCGCAATTAGCAGATTTCCAGAAGAAGTGGGACACACATGTGCGCGGCGTGGCGGGCATACGAGCGTGTGTGTGCGGCGCGGCGGGCCATGCGAGCGTGTGTGTGCGGCGTTGCGGCCATACGAGCGTGTGTGTGCGGCGCGGCGGGCACACGGTCGCCTAATTTAATCATGTAGTTTCATTGACTTTGCCTCACGCTCGGGCGAATCGCTGCGGCCACTGCAAGAGATCTCGTCAACGCCAACAGGAGATAGTGTTGTGGAATGAGGGTTAGGGTTGGGAGGGGGGTTTCTTTTCTTGGGGAAAACACTGTGTACATCGTTAGGGATGAAAGAGATGTTTGAAAGTTTTGCCGTTTTTTTTTTTTTGCCGTTTACTTTTGTAGTGAGTCGGCGAGGATTTGGCCGTGCAGAGAGAGAGAGAGAGCATAGAGAGAAAGACCGGAAGATGAGAACCAGGTCAAACGTTACATAAAATGACATTACATACGTCTCATACTTCAAGTCTCTGCGGATCGAAAGTCAGGTGCCGCAGCTTTAAAGTGCCGTAAACAGTAAACAGTGGCATTCACGGATCCATTCAAAGCTCCGATTACGTGGCGAGGCGCGCGGCTGCTTGAGTTAACCTGCTCTGAAAAGCCCCGTGCCGCACCTGCCTCCGCCGATCGATACCAGCCACTCAACCACACCCCCTCCCCCCACCTCCACCCCCCCAAAACGGCACCTGACACCACCTCGCGCTGCTGGGACTCCTCACTCTCTCCCAGGATTACAGGTACTTAGCTCCCATTATGTCTGCTCTATTACCTGCCGCGCACAAACAGAGGCGCGCGTTAGCTAACACAGACACAGACACACACACACACACACACACTGGGGCGGGCTGACAAAAGGCCGCCTGAGCTCAGGTTCAGGTGCAGGTGCGTGCGGGGGACGCGGCACTTGACACGCGCCGGTTTTTTACCCGGCCGCGCACTCGAGGCACTCAGCCCGACGCCGCGCGCACCTGCGGCCTCCGGTTACGTTCTCCATTCAGCTGCCGTGTTGTGGCATTGAACCTAAACGCTACGAGGTTTCAAAGGATTTTTAAGTCGACCGCAGGCGTGCTACTGAGGTAATATCCCCGAATGCCAGCGGTGACAAAAATGCAACCAGAAAAAAAAGAGTAAAAATTGAAGTGCGGTGAAGCGGTTCAGAAAATATGCAAAGAAAAATATTGACCGTTCAAGATTTATTTTATTTGATTTTTTTTACATTTGGGTTAATTACAAAGCCACACTGAACCTTCTCATATTTTTTAGCTTTTCAAAATTATTTGACAATTTTTTTTATATTCTTGTTGTTTTACCTGCAAGACTTTTATGGATTATTTCACTTTGAGAAATGGGTTTATCTGAAATTTTCCAAGTCGTTTGTAACATTCGTAATTTTTCTTTTATCCGCGGTGCCTCTTTAAGGTTGTACGATTATATCTTCATTAAAAACAGAGGCAGCATCTCTCCGGTTTAGTTAAGAATTCACGTTTGGATTAGGGATAAACCTGTACTAAACATGAAGACAAACAGACAAACTAAAAATAGTGAAAAGTTGAATCACAGAGCAGCGAAACCAACAGAAAGAAGGTTGTGGGTTCAAGTCCGTGCCGACCCAGGTCTCTCTGTGTGTGGAGTTTGCTTTTACAAGTTTGAAAAAAATGTATTGGTATTTTAACCCTATTCTGCTTAATTAAAAAACTAACATGTAACTCAAGGCACTTTATTACGCTAAAGTTAGCAATTTTATACATGCTAATTTATTATGCTAACACAAGAGATTTTATATATAGGAGGATTTTCCAAAATGTTTGTAAAGAACCGCCTTTGCCACTTTTTGAACAAAGCTCTCTGGTCTGATTTGACGAGCACGTATCACCAGATTGAATGATTGACAGTTGGATGGACCAATGGTCTTGATGATCCACCCGGAAGTAAAAAAATCCCCCATTTACCTTCAACCTGAATCAAATAGTCACAAGCAGGGATTTAAAAGTTCAGGATAAACACAACTTTTTAAAATAGCCTAATCAGAGTCAGAAACTTTATCTCTGATTTCTACATATCTATGAAATTAATACACATTTGAACAACATTCTAGTGTTCTGATTTTATCTCTGCATTTGGGCGATTTTATCTGGAAAAGTCCCACAAAAACGAAATTCACAATCCACATTTGACAGATCCACTACCTCCCTTTCTGAGAATCAAGCCCAAAACGTGGTGGTTTGATAAACTGTTTACCACGATGACTGTCACATTTTCAGTGGGTAATGTTGAGTGTGCGTCTGTCTCTGCAGCTGCCTCACACGTTTACCTGTGTGTGTGTGTGTGTGTGTGTGTGTCTCTGTCTGTGTGTGTGTTGCCAGATTGACAGCTCTGGAGTGTTTTCCTCTGAAGAGCTAATCAACTGTGGCGGCGTTCTCCTCTCGCGGTGAAACCTGCTCTCGGCGCGCAGGTGTCGGTACGGCGCGCACGTACAGAGCGCAAGTGCGGCCGCTTTGAAGGGCTCCTGACTCGGCAAAGAAACACTCAAAAACCCAGTGGGATAAAAGTGAGACACAATTTGGGGAGGAACAAGTCAAAAGAAGGATCCACTCTTGTGAACGGACAGGCTGTAGATCCAGGACTGAGGCTGTAGATCCAGGACTGAGGCTGTAGATCCAGGACTGAGGCTGTAGATCCAGGACTGAGGCTGTAGATCCAGGACTGAGGCTGTAGATCCAGGACTGAGGCTGTAGATCCAGGACTGAGGCTGTAGATCCAGGACTGAGGCTGTAGATCCAGGACTGAGGCTGTAGATCCAGGACTGAGGCTGTAGACCCAAGATTGAGGCTGTAGATCCAGGACTGAGGCTGTAGATCCAGGACTGAGGCTGTAGATCCAGGACTGAGGCTGTAGATCCAGGACTGAGGCTGTAGACCCAGGACTGAGGCTATAGACCAAGGACTGAAGCTGTAGATCCAGGACTGAGGCTGTAGACCCAGGATTGAGGCTATAGACCCAGGACTGAGGTTATAGATCCAGGATTGAGGCTATAGACCCAGGACTGAGGCTATAGACCCAGGACTGAAGCTGTAGATCCAGGACTGAGGCTGTAGACCCAGGACTGAGGCTATAGACCCAGGACTGAGGCTGTAGAGACTGGACTAGAAAGGAACCAGAGGAGGAACTAGACAAACATATTTTTTTTAGATACTTACATTTTTGTGATTTGAAAGTCAGTAACCTCAGCTTCTATACAAAAAGATTAAAGATAAAAAAATATTCTTCCTTCTTCTTTTGTTTCTACTCATCTTCTGGGCCGTTCTCCAGAGACCGCTCCCCCGACCGTCCCGTTGCCGGGGTGAGGCGAGCCGGGATCACGTCCATTTCCTGGCTGACCGCTCCGCTGACCACGTGGGCGGGGTCACAGACTCGCCGATCCCGGACCAGGACGACCTTTTCCAGCCCCTCCAAAAATCGAATCAATAGCTCTCCGGCCCGAACGGAAAGGCAGGGCGAATGCATTCGTCAACGGGCCAGCCATGCCTGACCCCCCGAGCCGGAGCCGAGGAGGGGGCTCGTTGGGTCCAGATGAATGGGGGGAGAGCCGGACGGTGATGGAGTGGACGGAAGGGTCCTCTGTCCGGGACAAAGAGGAGGTGTGGTTCTTGCATAGTTCTTTTGGTTAAAATTAATTATTTGAATGTGACTTTTTTTATTGATGCTTGTCTATTTTAAGTACGTCCTACTATTCTCATAAAAAAAATAAAAAAAGTTATACAATTTTGTTTATTGAGAAGCAGTTCAGAACGTGACATGGACATGATACCCACACCTCCCTCCCTCCCTCCCTCCCGGGGGCTACATTACTTTTATGACAAAAACGGCTCCCAAAAGGCTTTTCAAAATTGTGCAGTTTGTTATTTTGCATATGACGTATCCTTTCAAGATGAAGAGTCTCCGTCAATGAAGATGTCCATGCTGAAACCGAAGGGACGTCTTTCCCCTTCCACAAACGTAGGATGAGTCTCTTGGCGCACATAACTCAGAAGGTTTTCAGTCGGCTGGTCTGATCCGAAACTCCCATAAATATCTAATTGTACATTTAGAACCTTGGAAATGAAAGAAAAGCCTCACATTCATCACAAATGGGTGAAACATAAAAAAATAATAGAAATAACCTTAACCCTAACCCTAAGCAACTAGATTTCAACTTTGCGTGCTGCGAACCACTTATCTACAAAAAAACATTCTGAACTCAAGGCCTCACGCTCAAATATAATCTCAGAGCCAAAATAATAAATAAATAATAATGATTTTTTTTTTTGTAACACTATTTGGTTGCTCAAAGTCATTCATTCGATCCATACGCGGTGGTGAGAAACTAGCACTGAAGACACGGCTGCCCTGGGGCACACTGACAGAGACGAGGCCACCAGTCTGTGCCATCAGCCCCTCCCACCATCACTTACAGTATCTAAGAAAACACATTATGGTACACAGGTACAAAACACATCCCTCCATCCATTCTCTTCTGCTTTATCCATTGCCGGGTTGTGGTGGCAGCAGTCTAAGTAGAGATGGTCAGACTTTCCACTGGGATCCTGAGGCATTCCAAGGCCTCTCTCTACATGCAGAAGCAGCGGCTCTACTCTGAGCTCCTCTGGTGAGACTGAGCTCCTCACTCTTATCTCTAAGGGAGCAGTGGTTCTACTCTAAGCTCCTCACCTCCTCTTCTCAAGGAAACTCATCAGAACTAATATTTTATTTTCACCTTGTGGAAAAAAGACATTGGATGAATTAGTGAGTCTCAACAAGTTTGTTTGTTGTTTGTTTTGGAAGGAAAAACCCTGTGAGTCACCATTTGACTCTTAGGGCTGAGGCTGAGAGCTGAATGGGTCTCTCGTTTTAACTTTTCAGTCTGAAAAAGTTGATCCAAAGATGTGTCAGAAGCCAAACATACATGCACATGAAAACTAGTGAATTTTAACACGGTCAAATTCACTGCGGTTTGAAAATTAGGTACAGCAGCTCAATTTTAAACCAGTTTTTTCAGCCGTGATCTTCTTGTATTGATTTAGTTTTGTGGCATCCCCAACACACACACACACACACACACTGGACTTCTGTTGGGTCCAGATCTTTCCCCACAGTCTCTCAAAAAGCCACATCCTGGAGTGGGCTCTCGTTCCCCTTCTCTTCCTGTGATTCTCTCTCTCTCTCTCTCTCTCTCTCTCTCTCTCCGCTGACAAACGGTTCTTACACAAGCCTCTTACAGGTGCAGGAAACAGGTGCGCACTGTTGATAGCATCCTGACTGCGCGGCGGCAGCTACGGCTACATACATGCAGCGCTCTCCCTGGGCTCGCCGACAAACTAATTGTTAGCAGCCTCGGTCTATTTTTTGCCAGATGGAGGAGGAGAGGTAGCGGCAGAGCTAACAGGTTGCTGCTTCCTGATTAAAGTAACCTCGGGGAGTCTTTAACACCTGGCTAATAGACACGTCGATGTGGAACCGGAGACGAGGCGGTTTGTGGGCGCACGGTAAAAAATGTGCAAATGTAACATACAGGAAACACTGCTTTTGTGGCTGCACGGTGTTAGAACATAACAGCTTAAAGGGGAGGTGAGGACTTGTTTATATTTAAAGGTGGTGTACATACAACATATTAGAGATGGGATAAAGTGAGAAATACTGAAGATGACCTAGCTTGCACTGGCTGAGGATGTGTATGCCTTTGGACAGGGGCCTCGAACTCATTTTGGTTTAAATAAAAAAAAAACATAAGAGCAGGTTAAGGCCAGAAGTGGAAGTGTTTTTACATCTTTTTAAATTAATTGTATTTGGCATGACTTTAAATATTATTTTAGAACAGATACAATTACATGGCTGTTTGCCTCAGAAAATAGGCTTTAAAATTAGGTGTAACATGCCATAGTAGCCCATAAGACACCAGTATAAACAACAGGATCAGATAACTGGTACAATATATAACGTATTTTTAATTAACAGGATTGTATTTACCAATTTATGTATGTTCTTAACTTTGGTTTTTCCAGAATCCCATTCAACCATCCTTCTTCAAATTTTGACGATAATCTTGTTCTAATCCACAGGTTTCAAAGTATATCCGACCCGCGAGACCATTTCCAGTGGCCGTTCAGATGATTTTAAATGACTATATTAAATCGCAGCATAAATGGTAAAAAGCGACAATAGCATGTTATTGAAACAACCACAACATTTAATTCCATAAGAAATAAAGGATTTCCCAATTTTCTTAGGAAAGAACCGCCCTCTCCACCTTTTGAACAAAAGGTCTTATTTGACGAGCACAAATCACCAGAATGATTGACAGTTGGGAGGACCAATACTCTTGATGATCCACCCAAAAGTAAAAATCCTCCTGTGTACCTTCAATATTGGTCCAGTTTCTAATTCTAATCAGAAAAGAATGTCCAATCCAACTAATGTGAAAGAAGTCATTTATTTAGATACCTTCATAATATAAAAAAGTATAATCAATGAAACCCACTTATTCTTTCGGCTCCTGACCAGCCCTTTCATTTTTTAACCTCAACCAAAATAAGTTTGACACCCCATCTGTCTAAACTCTACATGTTACTGCGATAACTTCAGGGGCCACTTCAGGGGCCACTTAGAATTGTCTCGGGGCCTGGATTTGGCCCTTGAGCCTGAGTTTCGCCTCCACTTGGGTTTTTTTGTAGTTCCTCTCTGATGCCGGAGGGTCTGAGGCCGGCTGGTCCAACTGCCAAGGAGAATTATAGTGCAATAGTTGGGTTACATTTGTAGGTACTAAAAAAACACTTGGGGATCCATCCATTGTCCTCCACTTTATCCATTGCCAGGTCACAGAGGCAGCCGTCTCAGCAGAGGTCTTAATTTTTTTCCCTCCAAAAATTGAACAAAATTATACAAGAAACCAGACCAAGTGGTTTGGGCGTTTGTTGTTGTTGCGTTTAGACTTTTCATGAGCTCCGGATTCAGAGGAGAAAATACTGCTCTTTCTTAGAATTGTCTCGGGGCCTGGATCTTGGCCCTTGAGCCTGAGTTTCGCCTCCACGTGGGTTTTTTGGTAGTTCCTCTCTGAGACGGTGGGTTCTAGGCCCGGCAGGGGTCCAACGGCCAAGGGAGAATTATAGTGCAATAGTTGGGTTACATTGTGTAGGTACTAATACAAAACACTTGGGGATACATCCATTGTCATCCCCCCCCCCCCCCCCCCCCGCCCCCCCCCCCCCCCCCCCCCCCACCCCCTCCCACCCCTCACACCAACTTAACCCCCCACCACCACATGTTTTTGGCTGTGGGGGGTTTGGGTGGTGTTGTGTTTGTACCCCCCCCCCCCCCCCCCCCCCCCCAACCCACCTCACTGCCGCAATTATGTCAACCGTCCTGGCTATTTTGTTTATTCAATGTGGGAGTAAACAAAAAAAAAAGTCTGTTTCACAAAAAAATGCAGAAATGATTTATTGTATTTGATTATGCGGTGATGTGAAAATAAACAAATACAAATATTAAAATAAAACATACCTCCACATGTGTTTAAGCAAATCCAATTTCCCTCGAATTTTCTGCATTACGTTCACACAGGTGACCTCATCCTCCTCATTTGCACGTTCTCCTCCTTCCTTATCTGAGGTTGCCGAGTGACTCTCTGGCTGCGGTGGTGGTTGGCGAGGTGTGGGGCCGGCGGTGAGTCTGGTGTCAGGTACATGACAGCCTCACGCTCCCGGCACTTCATTTTCAGAGCGTTTTCAGGAAAAAGGTGCCGCAGCCGTATGACAGTAATTAACAACTGACTGAAATATCCCGTCCCTGGGCGCGAGGTGGCAACGCCAAGGATTTGACTCCATCCTCATTAATTCTCCCGACCTCCTGTATTGTACTTACTCTCACTTTTACCCACAACATCTACATTTTAATCAGAAGGAAATTAAAATAAAAGAACAGCCCAGATTTGACCATTATTAGCCAATCAGAGACGATGGGCGGGTTTCCCCTGACCATGTTTAACCGCGACCAGGTACCGTATTTTTCATAAAAGCTAAAAGGGACCGGTAGATGTTGCTCCTTAAATCTGCTTCATGCTGAAAGATTAAAAACAACTCTTGGCGCATGACCTGAATTTATACAAGTATAAAATTCAATTTCTTTCTAAAAAATGGAGCCTGTGTCTTATAGTCTGGAAAAAACTGTACTTTTTTAGCACCTGCTTGGCCCTGGTTCTATCCAGACCGAGCTGGAGCCGAGTAGACTAAGGTTTGGTTTGTAGTGGATCCTGCTGGTCCCAGAGTCAGAACTAAACCTGAGGAAGCAAAGTTTCAGATTTATGCAGCTATAATCTGATATAATCTGCATAAATCTTCCTGAAAATGTGAGATAGACCTTCCTCTCTGACATTGTTCAAATTCAGGTTTAAAACAATTCTTTTTAGCTGTAAATACAACTATCTTGTTTTTTCAACACTTTGAGTTTCATTGTGTACACATTGTGTCCTCTTTAGTTTAGCATATGGCTAGGAAGGTAAGACTCAGGGAAGGCTAAACTCCTCAGAGTGTCAGTCAAGCTGCATAGGGAGTCAGTTTGCTGGGAGAAGTATGGTAACTTGAGCACTATCCTCTCCTCCTTCCTACTTTATCTACTTTATTTGTTTAGCACTTTTAGGATTCTGACAGTAGTTTGTTCATTGCTATTCACCCGTTGTCCCATTGTCTGTTTCATGGTACGATGACGGGATCTCTGAGCCTGGCCTCCTCCATCTACACCTGCGGACTGCCCCGCCCGACCCGCCTGGGAGTGCTTCAGTCCTGCACCGGACCTGTCCACGTTCAGCGGCCACTGGTCCACGTCCTGTAGCTAGCTTAGTTCCTGGATCATTAGCCTGTCCGTCCGGAGGAGCGGATCCCTTTCTCATATGGGTCTTCCTCCCTGTGGGTTTCCCTAGTTCTCCCCAAGGTTTCTCACTTTTTCCCACTGGGTTTTTTAAGAGTTGTTCCTTGTCGATGCAGGAGGGTCTTGTTGGACAGTTAGTGTCCAACAGAAAGGATTGGTGATGATCAGGACACTTTAGCATTCTACAACATGTATGGACATTTTCTTCTGTGTGTGCTTTATATTCTCCATGTGTTTTAACTGTTGATTCTCTGATCTGTGTTGGTGATTTCAATGGTTTTGTTAAGTCTCTGAGATGACTTCTGTTGTGACCTAGGGCTATACAAGAATAAATTGTATTGTATTGTATTGTATTGTGTATAACCTGTGCTATACACATAAACCTGCCTTTCCTTTATTTACCTACAAAGAAATGAGGTCTGTGTCTGGTCTTGATCATGGTCCTGGTCCTGGTCTTGGTCTAGTTTTCACATAGATGTATTTTTGGCCTACATACATAAATAAAGAGCCTTCTTCAAGGGTTAATAGACTATAAACCAACGGTCATATTGAACTGGACTCAGCGCGCCGGAGGATGCCAGATCCTTATTGGCTCTTTATGTATAATTGCTCTATATTATCACCCCCTCCCCCTCTCGTCTCCAGAGTCAGAGTAACATGGCGGCCGCGGTGTCGGTCGTGCTGCTACTAAAGTTAGCGTAGCGGCGTGCTCTTGCGTGGTTGACAGATGGTTTGATGTTGGCAGGGAGCAGACTTTGCCGGAGTGTTTGGCTACCTCCAACCTGGCGCCCGTCACTTCCTCTCTCAGTCAATAATAGGATCTGACTTGTATGGATTTTTGACGTCTGCTTTGAGTGAATGGGAACGCGGGTCTTCGACACCTGCGCCGCTGACAACTTCAATGTTACATAAGAGAAAGCATTAACATGTGAAGCAGGCATGTCAACTTCAGGCCCGTGGGCCAAATCCGGCCCAAAATACTATTTTCAGTGGCCCCTAACAAGATTTTTAATGATCAATAATAACATGCATCATCCATTTTCTCACATAAATAACCGATTAAATTATCCTTAAATGTTAATCTGTAGTCTACAGTCTTATACACTATAGATATTGTCTATCAACAATATGCTTAACTTTATATTTGGTCCAAGGAACTGCTTTTTTCTGCTGAGGAGAATCTCCAAAGTCATGAAAATGGTTTCACAGAATGATTCAGAGGTGATTATTCATGCATTTGTGTCTTTGCGTTTAGACTATTGTAATGCTCTGTTTTCATGTTTAAACAAGAAAAAACTGTCTCGCCTGCAGTTAGTGCAAAACTCTTCAGCGAGAATCCTGACCCGCACAAGCAGGAGGAGCACATCACCCCCGTCCTTAAAGCTCTTCATTGGCTGCCAGTGTCCTACAGGATACATTTTAAAATTCTGGTTTTAACCTTCAGAGCTTTGCACGGACAGGCTCCGTCTTATATCAGTGACCTGATCCAGCCTTACACCCCAGCCAGGGCTCTCAGGTCTGTGGATCAGAACCTCCTGATGGTTCCACGCACTCGCTTCCGGACCAGAGGAGACAGATCCTTCTAGGCTGTTGCTCCCAAGCTCTGGAACGTTCTCCCGCTCTCTCTGCGTTCTATAGAGTCTATAGAGTGCTTCAAAAGTCAACTGAAAACACATTTATTTGTTCAAGCTTTTGCATAATTTTGTCTTGCTGTTTTTACATGGTTGTCTTGGCCTTTAAAAATTTGTATGTCTAGTTTAAATAATGTCTGTTTTTATACAGTGTGAAGCGCTTTGTGACCCTGGTCTGTGAAGGGCGCTATATAAATAAAGTTTACTTACTTACATATAAAGTCAGAGATTATGTACTTCATTCTTGCTTTTAAGATTTTTTTCCTCATTATCTTTCTTTGTCTAAATAGAAATCAAGCATCTTGTGCATAACAATGAGAGATTTGAGTCCTCTCTTTTTCTCTTTTTCTGTAAGAAAAATGCTGCTCTAAAGATGTGACAGAGGCTTATCATACATGCATGTGAAATCTAGACCAAGACCAGGACAAAGACCAAGACTATATAGTAATTTGTTTTCGAACACAATAATTAAAATTACCTCCCAACACCTCAAAATATCACTCTTTCTATTTCATATTTTCTGGTGGGATAAAGATTAAAGGTTATTTTTTGACAAATTCTTCCTTACATCACAGCGGTTATTTCTGTATCATTTCCACGCTTTATTCTATTTTTAAAACAGTCCGAACGTCAACAATGGCCTCATCTCGCCGCCCCCTCTACTCGGACATTTGTCGCTCACGTCTGTTCTGAATGAAGACACCGGCAGGCGACCGACAGACGAGACAACCCCGGAAATTCAGTAATAACAAACACAGAAGAGGGTAAAGAAACTACTAAAAAACACAAAATTATATCAACGTGTTTAGGACCAATGTTGCGGCTTAGACTGTACAGAATGTGTTACATGTGTCATATTAAAATATTCTATATTAAAGCTGAGGTACGCAACTTTAACATCACAATGTATTCAAACCAGCGTAATCAAACCTGCATCTCTAGTCCCTGGATCTAAAACAGTCTGCTTCACTTGTTTTCACATCATGTATTTTTTGCCTAAGGGTCAGAAAGTGACTCCCAGGGCTCAAAACTCCAACATCTATCTCTCATGTTCGTTTTAGATGTGACAGTTGGTTCTTATGTTGTGCCAAAAGAAACAACTCAGACTCTGAGGAGCACAGGGACTGGCCTCCTGCTGGGACTCTGAGGAGTACAGGGACTGGCCTTCTGCTGGGACTCTGAGGAGCACAGGGACTGGCCTTCTGCTGGGACTCTGAGGAGCACAGGGACTGGCCTCCTGCTGGGACTCTGAGGAGTACAGGGACTGGCCTTCTGCTGGGACTCTGAGGAGCACAGGGACTGGCCTCCTGCTGGGACTCAGAGGAGCACAGGGACTGGCCTCCTGCTGGGACTCTGAGGAGCACAGGGACTGGCCTCCTGCTGGAACGGGAGGCAGCACTTCAGATTCTTGCAGCAACAATCTGGAACAATCTTCCTGAAAATGCGAGACAGTCTTCAACTGCACAGAAGCTGATTGGATAGCACTGTCGCTTCTCACCAAGAAGGTCCTGGGTTCGAATCCCGGTCAGAACAGGGCCTTTCTGAGCGACGTTTGCATGTTCACCCTGTATCTGCGTAGGTGTCCTCCAGGTGCTCCGGTTTCTCCCACTAAAAAAAACATGCACAATAGAGCTGAATGTGATAAATGGAGAGAATGGAACAATATCTGAACTCTGAACGTTATAAAGAGATTTGGGTGACCTGGGTCTGTTAAAAAATGTGCTATATAAAAAAACATTACTTACTACTCTGACATATTTACTCCACTCATTCTAATGCAAGTTTAGTAATGTCTTTTTACCTTTTCTATCTGGTTTTAATCATCACTTTGTCTTTCCTTGTCTATGAACTGTGCCATACAAATAAACTTTAATTTAATGCCTTGGCTTGCATTAACGCCCCCCCCCCCCCTCTTGCCCCCTCCCCCCTCCCCCTTGGGCACGTGGCACTACGGCGGCTGCTTGTATAGGTGCCATTCCGCCCGCGTGTTTAAAGCCACCTCGACGTGTGGAGCAGGTGGCGCACAATGCACTCTTGTTGTTCTCCGGTGGCTGCAGTCAAGATGGCAGGTGTCTGTGCGCTCCGAGTGGCACGAGCGGGAGAAGGCGCCGCGCCCGCTGCCAACCACCACTCCGACGGGAGCCAAGAGGAGCAGGCGCCCACCTCTGCGAGAGACGGGGAAGTTCAGCCACAGCCACAGAGGTCTGAGGGGGAGAAGGGGGGGAGAGGGAGGGTGAGGGGTGGTAAGGAGACATTAGCCCTGTTCCCACCATCTCTACTCTCGACTCGATTGGCCGAAAGTACAATTGCAAACCTGTAGCTCCGCCCCTTCTGTCTCAGGGCCAAAAACAATGCATAATTTTTGTTTAAAGTAGTAATACGTAAGATTTTCATGTCCAGTCATCAAGGGCCCTAATCTGTCATTATTAAAGGGCCCTAATCTGTCATTTTAAAAAGGCCCTAATCTGTCATCATTAAAGGGCCCTAATCCGTCATCATTAAAGGGCCCTAATCCGATCGATCTAAAATATAATGTCACGCCAGCACAAATCTGCGCTACTTTTTCTTCAAAAGGACGTATATCCCAATGCACTACATGGACATGGATAGCATTTTAGTAATTAATACAAAAATAAAGTCAGTTAGTGCAGCTTTAAAGGCGCTATACCCGTTCCTACAATGTTTGAATGTTTAGCACCGCCCCCCAACTCGCTCACAGGCTTCTCATTTCCCCTACGCTCTCATAACACGGAGCCACCTAGTTTTATTTGCGATCTGATACGTATGCAAACATTAGCATTAGCGCAACTTGTAAGCCGTACAACAATCACTGATGAAATGGTACTAAAGCAACGCACTGCTAACACAATATATAAGTAAAAGAATACCATTAGTTTCGCGTCCGGATGTATTAATTTAAACATTAGAATATATTCTAATATTTAATTATAATTCGTTATAGAGCTCCTCACAGCAGCAGCACTCCATTGACTTGAATGCAATTCTTCCGATCATTTTTTCTTGATAACAGAACTCTCAAACCAATAATGACCGCAGCCTCAATGCAATCTCTGTTTGTAATTCAGGTGTGTAAAATACTGCCATTACTTTGCAAGTACAACAAGCTATCAGCGCCTGTCACTACATTGCACAGTTTTTCTGCACACTTGTCTGTGTAGAGAAGCTAGCGGAGCTAGCCACGCTCAATAAACAAATACATATCAATCAATCAACACCATTAAACGTCAATCGGACAATACAGTATACATATACATCCTTAACACACATGCACGGACGATTTCAGAATTTGCTGTCAACGTTTTCATGACAAAAATACTGTTTTAATGTGACAAAAAGCGATTGCGAAAAACCCGGAAGTTACCATAAAACAGCTAGCTAGCTTAGCTGTTACCTGCCTAGCACGTCCCGGTGAAACCTTTGGGAGCTAACTATTTTATTTGCAGTCATTAAATACATTTCTAATTATAAGGGTTGTCTAATATTTGTTCAAATATGTATATATTTTTTATTTTAGAATTATATTCAAATTTTGAAGTCGAAGCCCTGGTGTTAAAGCTGCACTAACTGACTTTATTTTTGTATTCATTACTAAAATGCTATCCATGTCCGTGTAGTGCATTGGGATATACGTCCTTTTGAAGAATAAGTAGTGCAGATTTGTGCTGGCGTGACAATATATTTTAGATCGAGTTTTGATGAAACAAGGAAGAGAATGTGTTTCGGGTCGCAGATTGTGACCACAGCCGAGGAGCTAACCTGAAACTTCCTCGTCTTCGTCACCGGTTACTGCTTACACAGCGAGACAGCCATCCAAAAGAAAGTCCCGTTCCTCCGCGCTTCCCGGTTCTATCGTTCTATGGTCACGCCATCCACGTGAAAATCCATATCCATGTATTATCCATATTGGGAGAGGCTAGCTTTGTCCCAACAGTGAGTGTGTGTGTGTGGGGGGGGGGGGGGGGGGGGGGCGATAGCTTCGTGGGTGCGGGGAGGGGAGCAGAAAGAGAGAGGCCAGTGAGTCCGCGGCTTCAAAATCCCAAAGTCAGTTAGTGCAGCTTTAAGCAGCGCTGTAGAGGCTAGAGGACGCAGGCTGCTCGCTTCTTGTTCTGTGAGTGGAGGAGAACGAGCGTCCCGCTCAGGCTCTACTCAGCACTTTTCACTGCCTAAATTTCATACATAGTGGAATCAATGACCTCAAGTTTTCAATTAAATTATGTATTGTGATACAACTTGTATTTAGTAAAAAGCATTTTTATGAACTACTTAGAAAAAAAATCGGGTATAGCTTCTTTAAAAGGCCCTAATCTGTCATCATTAAAAGTCCCTAATCTGTCAAAATAATTAACGGCTCCTTTCCAATACTTCTTTAGCTGACAAACAGTAGTTCAGAGATATTTGAATTTCTAAATTAGTTTTACAGCCCCTAAATCTTGTTAGTGTTTTCGTTTCGATGTCCACTGTTTCACCAATCAGAAAGTCTGTGATCTCACTGGTAAAGTACCATGTGGCGCAGAACTAAAAAAGGCCTCGTTATGATTCTCAAATCATTAACGACAAAACAAGGAATAAAACCAGGATTTCTATCTTTGTGAAAAAGGTGTTGGTTATAGATTTGTTATTGACTAAACTATTGTCTATTCAGCTGTCATGGTCCCAGCTGGAATTGTCTGCATATCTGGCAACCTGAGTCAGGGAGAGTGGGAGAGGCTGGAGTTTTACTTACTGCTCCTTTAATGCTAGGGTTCCTAACTAAAAATCAGACTCTGACGCAATTTTCACAAGCTGGATATTACCTTGTTTTGTTAGCATCTATAAAAGTAGTAAAAAAGTAAATAAATAAAAAAACAAAAAACAAATTACAAACAGGGAGATAGTAGTAACCTTCAAAAGAAAGTTACCAGACCGGTTCTAACCATTCCAGCGCTTGTGTATTGACACAAAACCCACAGTGCCGTACAGAATATGATTATTTCATAGTTAAGGCCCGGTTTTAAAAGTGACGTTTGTTCAGTATTGATCCGTTCGACCGATCGTTTGTCCGTGAGATCTCGGGGGAAGGATTTGAAAGCCTTCAGAAGTGGCTTTAATTAGAATGATGGAGGACGTGGGCATGTGAAACCGGCGCACTAATAACGCGGCCCTATCTTTAAAGAGTGGTCAATAGTGACGGGTAATGGGCCGTAATGGAAACAAATGTCTGAGAGTGACGAGGCTCCATGTTTTGTGAGGACATAAACTGGGATTTATTAGGGATCGGGAGACGGCAGAAGTGCGACGCTTTTGATATGGGAAGAAAAACGTTTTTTTCAATGTGTTGGTGATGTGTCTCGACTTAGTTCACAACAGCGGAAGACTCTGAGGACTATACAAAGTTGCAGCTCGAGGATTGAGGCTGTAGATCCAGGACTGAGACTGTAGATCCAGGACTGAGGCTGTAGATCCAGGACTGAGGCTGTAGATCCAGGACTGAGGCTGTAGATCCAGGACTGAGGCTGTAGATCCAGGACTGAGACTGTAGATCCAGGACTGAGGCTGTAGATCCAGGACTGAGACTGTAGATCCTGGACCAAATCTGTAGATCTAGGACTGAGAATGTAGATTCAGGACTGAGGCTCTAGATCCAGGACTGAGGCTCTAGATCCAGGACTGAGGCTGTAGATCCAGGACTGAGGCTGTGGATCCAGGACTGAGGCTGTCTGTAAGTGTCCATAAAATCTCTACTGAAACCAATCCAATATTGTTATTCGAAAAGAACCACATCCAATTCCATTAAATCACTGAAATAATCGGAGTTTTGACCAAAATTCTGATTATCCAAGTTTCACCTGTATGTCCTATAATGTTATGCAACTCCCCAAAGTGATTTTTTACTAATGAGAAAGAAAGCCAAGAGGAACTCGACTGACAACACTGCGATCAAAGAATCCGTCGTGGCGTCTTCTCGGATCGCGTTTTTGTGCCAAAGCCGCGGCGTCAGATCCGAGTGACGGCGGACCAAGGTTAGCGCTGGTGGGAGAACAAAGGCGGGCGGCCGTCAGAAGCGCCTCGGACAGATCTGGCTTACCTCTGAACCTCCGAAGGTGTTCCTCTTGTGCTCGACTACAAGAGAACAGAGCGGCGTCTGTGTGCGCGCCAGAGACAAGCGGCGCCGTGCCAGCTAGCGCGCAGGAGAGAGTCAACCTTCCCCTTGCTGTGCAAACTCCCAAAACCTCTACATGGATTAGATTTATGTTATGTTTAAATGAAAGGCTTTTGTATCCGTCTGCATTAAGCCATAGATTGCATATTAGAGTGGACTGACCAAGTGTGACATCACAGTAGTGTTAGCCTGAATGAACATAAGCTAGCTGGAGCTAATTTCCTTAAATGGGCGTTTCTCCATAACAGGTGCAGATATGTCGCTGAATTTTTCCAGGAAGTAAATCTGATTGGTCAATTCTTATATGACTCTAGTCTGGATTTACAAAGACAATATCACAACATAAACACAAGAATCACAGAGAGCAATAAACCACAGATTTAAGCCCAAAATGTTAATTCTGACCCTTTCTCATGTTAATCAATAGGAGCCAGATTGAGTTGGGGCCAAACTTCAACATGAGCACTTCCCTCTCGGGCTACATTGAGCAAGCAGGTTGGCATTAGCCACCTGAATACAGTCTATACTTTGATATTATTCTTCTTGCACTGCACGATGTATAAACTTCATCAAACCTTAAAGTTATTCTTGTATATGATGAGTGAAAAAGTCATTTCCTGAGATGTGTTTTTAGCCACATTTCAAAATAAATCTGCACAAGCAAAAGCCTAGCTCTCAGTTTGTCCCAGGGCAGCTGTGGCTACATATCACCATCGTGTATGGAGTGAATGTCCTGAAAAGTGCTCAATAAAACCAATGCATGATTATTATTATTTTTATTTAAGTTATATATTTTCCCACACATCCTCAAAATCACCTGACTTCCCACGTTGACCCTGTTTTATATATTTTGACCCCCGTATGCACTCACTCCTCTGTTTTTTTACAAATCGGAGAACAGTTCGTTTATTTACCTGAAAATGACCGATCTCACTGTTGGTCAGAAATATTGCAATCCAACATTTGTCCACAAGGGGCAGCCGTACTTGCCTCGGCCTGTGACTGTGGACTTGGGGGACACCTCTTGGCAGATCTGGATTCAAATCTGTTACTCCACATTCGGAGACCTCTCATGTTGAAGTATCGTGAGCGTGACATCTCCACCTGCTGATTATGGGCTTCTCTGTGTCCAGCTGTCACTCTGCCCAATGGCACAACCCCCCACAGGACCAGCGGCCTCTCTCTCTAGTCTGCTCTGGTCTGGTCTGGTCTGGAATGGTCTAGTCTGGTCTGGTCTAGTCTGGTGTCCTTCTGCTTCTGCGTAGCGTTGGGAGGTTTTTATAATAAGCCTTACCCAACAGGACGCATTGTTGCATCTGTCTCATCTTTAGAGCGCATTTTTCAGACAGAAAAGTTAAAGATAAACACGAGAGAGACCAGAGAGAGAGAGCAGAGAGAAAGAAAAGAGTGGTTTCGAGAAAGAGATTCGAGAGACCAGAGAGAGGGAGCAGAAAGAAAGACCAGAGAAGGACCAGGGAGAGAGACCAGAGAGAGACCCCAGAGAGAGAGACCAGAGAGAGACCAGAGAGAGACCAGAGAGAGACCAGAGGGAGAGAGCAGAGACACCAGAAAGACGGAGCAAAGAGAGACCAGAGAGAGCGACTTCCTATCATTAATTTTCACCTACCTGTATTTCAGTCCTGTCACATGTTTAGATTTGCGTTTTCGGTCCTAAAATGGACAAAGAGAGAACCACCCTCACGTCGGCCACATGTATGTACTCGCAGCTTCAACATGGCTCTCTCTGAACAAACATGTCATACTTATTGTTACTTTATCGGACAAAACATCAAAAACATAGTGGATATTCTGAAGTCATCGTTGCCATATTCTCCTCACAAACTCACCGCCACCGCCTCCCTCCCTCCCTCCCCCCCTCGCACACCCGCGGTCCCCCAGCTCCAGCCTGACACGGATTGTCACAGTCACAGGCCTTGATCCGGACCCCTCTCTTTTCGCGTCGACCTCCCACTCGTGGCGCTGGAGGGGTCCCACGCGTTGGAGGAAAGAGGGGACCCCCGGAACATCTGCAAAGCCCGGGCTCCCGATAGCACCGCTGCCAGATTGGAGCCACATCACAGAGGGCCTGGAAGTCTACCTCTTGGCCGCCTGTCTCCCCCCCCTCTCTCTTCAGATCCACACTTCCAAAAACCTCCTCACCACCACCTGTTCGTTCGCGGCGGAGGAAACGGGACGCGACCGCACCGGCAAAGTCCAAAAAAAAAAAAAAAAAGTCTTGCACCCCCTGAGGAGTTTGCGGAGAGAGAACACCCACCATCCATCCAAGCCTGATTTTTCTTTTTTTCTTCCGTTCCCGGACTTGGAAAGGTTCAGGGGCAAATTTGGAGTTTCCACTTTCCCCCCCTAGAGTTGTGTCTTTGATGTGAGAAGACTCGCAGTCACGAATTTCTTGTCCGTTTACCATCAGAGAGCATCCACAAACTCTGGCTTGGCACGTCCCCACATGGCGGCCGATTTGAGCGACTTTAATTAGGCCAAAATGTGCCTAATGATGCGCTCGTGCCCCTGGACCTCGCCGCTCTCCAGCCCCGAAGAGATAAATCCACTAAATGTCTGTGTAGCGAGATTTAAGAGCAGTAGTTTTATTTTTCGGTTTGAGTGTTTAGACGATTCCCCACAGCAGGGCCACGTGGAGGCGGGGCGTCACTTTGCAGCATTTTGCAGCACTTTGCAGCGTTTGATTGCTATCACTGATGAAGACGGAAAATATTGGAGTAAAGAAATCCGATCGTCAACCTTTTTAAATATGTATCTTTGTCATGTTTGGCTTCATTTCATCCGCGACAACACTATACAAATATTTATATTAAAAAAAAAATCTTGTCTAGCTGTGTCCCTGATCTACAGCTCCAGTCCTGGGTCTACAGCCTCAGTCCTGGATCTACAGCCTCGGTCCTGGGTCTACAGCCTCAGTCCTGGGTCTACAGCCTCAGTCCTGGATCTACAGCCTCGGTCCTGGGTCTACAGCCTCAGTCCTGGATCTACAGTCTGACCATTGGAGCAGATCTCTCTCTCAATATAAGTTAGGTTTTTCACTTTTTTCCACTGGGTTTTGAGTGGTTCTTTGCCGATGCAGCAGGCTCTGGGATATTTCTACATTTCTGAACATTTATTCACGTTTCTGAACAGTGGTCTTACCGTACACTCCATATTTTTCGTACCTTAACGTGGCTACACTATGGACCAATGGCTCCTATGTCTTTGTTATCATCACATGTCCTGTGTTGGAACTGCTGGATTCTTTAATCTGTTGTTGGTGAATCCACAACTTTGTGCAGTCCTCCGAGACGACTGCCGCTGAGATTTAGGTCGAGACACAAATACATTGAATGGAAGTAACTGGACTGAGCAGAAGCACATGTTGTAATTTCTTTGTTGCAGACTTCGCTGTCAGACCGGACCATCCCTATGTAGATATATTTAAAGATGTGTTTGACTTGAGACGGTGGAAGCTGTAGGTTTGTCTTTGTTCTGTTTGAAGCCTTGAGTTTGCAGAGCGGAGCAGAGGTTGAACAAAGCGAGTGAACAGACAAGTACATGCGGAGCCAAATCAAAACTCTGACCACAAAGCAGTTTCTCTGCTTTAAGTCCGACCTTCTATCGGTCCTCGTGGAGTTCCAGCAATAGATAGCATGCTTTTTTGTGTCAGCATTGATTTTTATCTCCCCTCCACCCCACTCTCCTTCTAATAGAGAAGTGGATTCTTCAAAGACTCCTGTTTGCCCAAAGCAAGCTTGAAATTCTTCCCTTTCAAAGCGCCATTGCTTCTTTGTAGTTAAGATCCCTTGTCTCTTCGGGTGAGGGCAAAGCAGAGCCAGAAGTTGTGAAGGTACCAAAGGTATGGAGGAGCCCCCCATGTAGGTGTGTGTGTGTGTGTGTCGATCGATGCGCCTCCCCTTAAGCCTGTGAGGATGTGTTTGCAAAGGTATTTCCAGACCTTGAATCAAAGACCTTTCTTCACACAGTCAGTGCCAGACAACTTTCTCCGAGCCGGGCCGAAGCCTCTAAAGTCTCACTAACGTCTGACAGAAGTCTGGAGCCGAGCGCCGTGTGCTGTGGGCTCAATTACAAGTTGTTGTTTGAGGGAGAGGCTGGCTGTCGCTCTGTCTGCCTCCTCCTCACGACCCGAGGTGTAAAGAAGAGCACCGGGGGACTGGCGCTCCATTATGCAGGTCGGATCCTGTCGCCTCTTCACACCTCAGATTGAGTTTGGGCCCAGAGAGGCGCACATTTGACACAGGCACAAGAGCACGTCTGCACTGAGGGCTGCGGCAGTGCCAGCTCCGGAGACCCTCACTCTCTCACTCTGCGACTGCAGAAGGAACAGGGAGGGGAGGGGCAGAGCGGGACACAGAGAGAGGAGGGGGGGGACGGACCTGTGGACTAGCACAGGGAGGGGCAGAGTGGGACAGACATGTGGACCAGCACAGGGAGGGGCAGAGTGGGACAGACCTGTGGACCAGCACAGGGAGGGGCTGAGTAGGACAGACCTGTGGACCAGCACAGGGAGGGGCTGAGTGGGACAGACCTGTGGACCAGCACAGGGAGGGGGCAGAGTGGGACAGACCTGTGGACCAGCACAGGGAGGGGCAGAGTGGGACAGACCTGTGGACCAGCACAGGGAGGGGCAGAGCGGGACAGACCTGTGGACGGCAGCGTTTGTACTTTTGAAACGTTTTTCAGTATGTTGTTTTAGTCTTCCCTTATTTACCAAATAAATTGTCACATCGTTATCTTTCTCAGACAGAAAAGTGAAAAATAGAGGACCAATGTATGTGAAACCTATGAAGCTAAGCAGGGCAGGGCCTGATTAGTGCTGTGATAGGTGACCTCTGGTAACACCAGGTGCCACAGTGGGGCGGCTGTGGCTGTAAAGTACAAAACTGTTGTTGCTGAAGATAGACATTTCACCCACATTGCCTAGAATGAGTCTGGTGTGTGTGTGTGTGTGTGTGTGTGTGTGAATGGTTGGTGGTGGTGGGAGGGGCCAATGGCACATACTGGTTGCCTCACTTCAGTATGCCCCAGGGCGGCTGTAGCTACACTAGTATCCCTACTGTGTATGGCATGAAAGAATAACGTCTTTGAGTGTCCAACAAAGCACTATAGAAAACGTTTTCTTTTTTATTATTATTATTATTATTATTTTTATTATGAGAACCTTTAACATCAGGAGACATTATGAACTGTATACATCTGGTTATATTGAGTTTTAAAAATCCAATATATTCACTGACCATAATAGAATGCATGCTTTCTTCCACTGTCACACACAAGACAAACAAGAGACTGAACTCTGGACCTCGCTCCACACTTTGGGGACCAGCCTCAGCCTCAGCATCGGCTTTGTTTAAGTAACGCTTCCCATTTCCATACACCTCTCACAGTCCGACTATTCTCCGCGGGCAAGTGCAAAACGTTTCTTCAAGTCTGCAGGAAATGAAAGCCAACATTGACCATCCAACACACATCCTCTCTCTCTCTCTCTGACCCTGGCCTTTCTCCTCCCCTGCCGTGAATAAAACATGGCGCCCCCGCTACCTGGCCTGCCGAGCGAGTACGCGGGAGGCCGGCGGGCTCCGGAGTGGACTGACCCTCAGCGTTTGGGCGCGCACACACACTCGCTAAGAGGAGATGGAGGAGCAGACGGTAGGCGCCCCGGTCCCAGGAAGACGTGGGACCCCTGGAGGTATAGGCTGACGGTGAGCAGCTGTGGCGGGCTCGGGATCAGAGCGAGTTTGTCAGTGGGAGACGTTAAAGAGACAGACGCGCTGCACGACCACATGGAAAGAACTAGTTCATTTTAAATACTTTTGCATAAATCCAATTCCAATCTTCCTTGTTTACAAACTTTGAGTCAACTTTCTGAGGCCCAAGCAGAGTTTTGTAATCACTTTATAATTAAAACCTTAAATGATTACAGACGATGAGACCAAGGAAAGAAACCTGTGGCTCCGAACTTACTTATGTCTGTAGATCCAGGACTGAGGCTGTAGACCCAGGACTGAGACTGTAGACCCAGAACTGAGACTGTAAACCCAGGACTGAGGCTGTAGACCCAGGACTCGCTCTTCCCTGGTGGAAAAACCACCAGGATTTCCTCATTGGTCGGACCTGGGTCCAAGCCTCAGGGGACCATCACCAGGGTGTAGGCCTCGGAGGGTTACCACCAGGGTCTAGGCCTGGACTGAGGCTGTAGATCCAGGACTGAGGCTGTAGACCAAGGACTGAGGCTGTAGACCAAGGAATGAGGCTGTAGACCCAGGACTGAGGCTGTAGACCCAGGACTGAGGCTGTAGACCCAGGACTGAGGCTGTAGACCAAGGACTGAGGCTGTAGACCCAGGACTGAGACTGTAGACCCAGGACTGAGGCTGTAGACCCAGGACTGAGGTTGCAAATCCGGCCTAGTGAGGTGTGTTTCTTCTGATAATGAAGCTGAATTTGTTTACCAAATGCTGTCATATTTATTGGGTAAAACATTTGTTGAATCATACTAGTAGTTTATAACAGACAGAGAGAACCAAAGCGGAACAATAAAATACATACAAAACAGAGTCAAGACGAAAAACCTCCGGCTTCAGCAAATAAGGTATATCCATATTACTTGTTAGTGGCAAATAAATCAACTCGGACTCTGAGGAGCACAGGGACTGGCCTCCTGCTGGGACTCTGAGGAGCACAGGGACTGGCCTCCTGCTGGGACTCTGAGGAGCACAGGGACTGGCCTCCTGCTGGGACTCTGAGGAGCACAGGGACTGGCCTCCTGCTGGGACTCTGAGGAGCACAGGGACTGGCCTCCTGCTGGGACTCTGAGGAGCCAGGGACTGGCCTCCTGCTGGGACTCTGAGGAGCACAGGGACTGGCCTCCTGCTGGGACTCTGAGGAGCACAGGGACTGGCCTCCTGCTGTTCCCAGAATCAGGACAACACATGTTGAGGCAGCATTTCAGATCTATGCAGCTACAATCTGGATTAGTCTTCCTGAAAAGCTCATAAAAGAGACTCTTTTTAACGGACTGTGACGATTTATTTATGTATTTATTATTTATTGTTATCATTTTTAATATTGCCATTATATTTTCACTTCTCTAAACTTCCAATGTTGTTCCATTTTTTGCACCACAGACAATATTTTCAGTGCTTGTCTCCAGTCTGCTGTCTTCTCGCAGATCCACAGAGGGTTGTAGACATATTTGAAGGCAGAAACCGGCTGTACTTCCTCCTCTGTGTGTGTTTGTGTGCGTTTGTGTGTGTTTGTGTGTGTGCTTCTCGGCCTGGAACGCCAGATGAGACATTACCATTTCTGCTTATAGTGGACGATCGTGTTTTGCAATTTTGATGCAAGAACAACACTTTTTCTCCTCATTTGCCCGCTCGTTTGGCGTCGGTTTTCCACCACTCGAGAAAACTGAGAGGATGGATGGAGGGGGGAGTTGGAGGGGGGAGGGGAGGTGAGGTGAGGGGGGGACCAGGGCCGCCCCGAGCCATGTCTTCTGCCGGGGAAACCTGAATGCTTTCGGAAAAGGGAAGCGGAGTGTGCAAAAGTGATATGATCCAATAAATCAGCGGTGGTTCTCTCGTCTGTCGTGATTGTGAATATTAAGCGTATCATAGAGAGGGAGAGGACGCGGCTGTGGCTAATGCCGAGCACCAGTCGTCATTTCGGGTTAGCATGTTTTTGCCCGTCTGCCTCTTCATGGGAGAGACCAATGCAAAACACTCAGGCCACAGCTCCCCTTGTTTTATGTCCTAATAGCCTCCAATGGACAAAAACAAAAATTGTGAAAAAATTAGCATGGTCTAGAAAAAACACCAAAGTCTGATCAGCCCAATGTAACTGTTGTGTCCGTATCTAATAAAAAAACAAAAAAATTACTAATGTAGGGCTTTGGATCCACTTTCTCAAATGTGCAGGTGATCCAAAGCCCTACATTACTGCGGGTCTGTCTCTCGATGGTAGTGATAAAACCATCTCCAAATCTGCCGGTACAATATTGGTTCTCACGGTGCGATTATTATTGTGGTAATTTAGATTTTGTTAATGACGATAATAACAACATTAAAAAACAAAATAAAATAACTGTCTACATGAATAAAGTTATACAAGTTAAAGGGTTTTTGATAAGTGCTAAAACTGGTCAATGTGACTTCAAATACAGCAAAACAGGCTATTGCTAACGCTGTAGGGAAACATTGGGTTGTTATGTTAACTAGCACTTGCTCTTCTCTGGTGGAAAAACAACCGGGATTGCCTCATTGGTCGGATCTAGGTCCAAGCCTCGGGGAACCACCATCAGGGTCTAGGCCTCAGGGGACCACCACCAGGGTTTAGGCCTCGGAGGACCACCACCAGGGTCTAGGCCTTGAGGGAGACCACCACCATTTTCAAGGCTTCAGAGAGACCATCACCAGGGTCTAGGCCTCGGAGGACCACCACCAGTGTCCAGGCCTCGGAGGACCACCATCAGGGTCTAGGCCTCAGGGGACCACCACCAGGGTCTAGGCCTTGGGGGAGACCACCACCATTGTCAAGGCTTCAGAGAGACCACCACCAGGGTCTAGGCTTCTGGGCGGACCACCACCAGGGTCTAGGCCCGTGGGATATACTGTCTCATAAATCTATCATTTAATTGCCCCTTTTGATTTCGACAAATAATAACCACATTTCTTCTACATCATTCTTCTTACATATTGAGGCTAATGTGATGATTTATGTAGTCACAAATTACCATGGCAACCGATAAATACTATCCCCATAATCCCATTTTATCTGTTGGAGTCTGTCTGGATTGAGCTAGTTTTAAAGTCACATACTGTATTAAGTCAGAAACATCAACGTCTGTTCATGTGGTGTTCCCTGCTCGGATCAGACCCCGCGTCTCTTCCGATGCCTGGTCCCGGTGTCGGCCTCGGTCCCGAAGGTCGCACCGTGGCGGTCTCCTGCGGCGGCTGACTGACAGGTGCGTGGGTCCGTGGAGAAGCCCGACCTGCGAACACCTCGCCGGGGCCAGATGGCAGTGCGTCGACAGGAGCGGGGCGGGGACCTGCAATCTGCCCGACAGCATGTGCCCGGGTAATTGTCTCGGCGGTGACGGCTGTGCCAAAGACCGCGACGAGAACAGCCACCAGAACCAGCTACCTGAGCGCAAAACAAATGTCTTCATTTAGGCCGCGACAAAGGGGGGTTAGTGAGGGAAAGGAGGGGTTTCGCCAGGGGTTGGGATGAGGACTTCCCCTTGTCGTATAGGGGAACTTGTACTTGTGCTTGTACTGTATTTTCTTTGTCAAAACATTGATACAAAGGAGATAGTTGTTAAATTATAATTGAATGTGAGGTATTTGTGTATTGCCCAAAATCTCAATTCTCTCTAGAGTCTTGGAAGATTTCACAAAGTTGGGGATTCTGTCCCGATGTGGATTTCATTTTCCTTCTTTAGTTTTATTTTGACATCACAATTCTTTGGTTTGGTTCATTGTATTGTCTTTTTGTTTGTTCATGTCTTTGTTCCTGGTTCCGTTTTGGATTTTGAAATTGTTTTATTACCTTGGACTTTCATTTTTTAAAATCATTTTCATAATTTCATCATTTATTTTTATTCCTGCATTTTGAGTCCTCCATCATCTTACTTTGAAAACAAGAAATGCCATAACAACAAACATATAGGAGCCATTGGAGTTAGGGTCTGATAGGGGTTGACCACTGTCCAGAAATGTATTTTTTTTAATGTGCAGAAATGTTAAAAATGGCCGCCCTTGGACCTTCCTGAAGCGGCAAAGAACCACTGAAAAAGCGCCAAAAAGTTTTCCCATTGACTTAAGGAGTAGAGTATTTTTTCCTTGTGCCTTACTCCTTTATATAGCACTTAAAAAACCGTTCTGTCGTATCAACCGTGTGCTGCTCTGAGCTCAAATAAACAATCTTAAAATAACTTACACATACATCACCATAGAATATGTTCGCTAAAACATAATACCTCTAAACAAAACAGTAGAACCGCTCCGAAGCCATTCTCTGATTGGTCATTAGTCATTACTTACTTTACTTTTTGCTTGGCTCCGAACAACTAGAACTACAGGTCTGTTTTATTAAGTGAGTTTGCGTGTTTAGTATTTGCTAACACACGCCTTCAACACACGCCGGTAACGTCCGTAGATTTCCGGTCAGCACTAGATCATGTCGGGACGGAAGCGTAAACAATATGTAATCAACTAACCTAAACATAGCCAGCCGGTGCCATAGAATAACCCCAACTCACCTCAATCCGAACCTTAACCATCTTACACCTAAAACTTAACCAGTCACCACTTAAGGACGTACTTCCATTAAACCTTAACCTTTTTACCGTTGTACTCACCAGACTAACATATTCAACCCACCCTTAATCCCAACCTAAATCAGTTAAACAAGGAGTCAAACCTGATTGGCTGATGGGGGGGGTTCTGTAGTACAGCCACTGGTCCACGATCCAAACCTGTTTGTAAGTGGCCCAATCCACCATTTTAAAAATAGTTTTGCGTTAAAAATAAATATTACATCCATCCATCCATCCATTTTCTTCCCCTTAATTCATTTCTAGGTCGGGGGGGTGTTATTAAACCGTTATATTTTCAGGTAATACGTTTTTGCATGTGTGTTTACAGTAATTATTGTATCCATAATTTACAGTCTAAAACCAACTCGGAAGTGGGATTTTTGCTTCCGCTTCCGTCCCTAGCGCCGAACGTATATTTCCCCACATTTGTCGTCGTGTCCCCCGCCCGGCCCCCGCTGACTCTTCCTCCTGTGATGTATGAGATGTATTCAGGTAGCGCTTCACTGCTCCGCGCTCCTCGCCTCCCCCTATGTGTGTTTAAGGGAACCGCGGGCCATCCTGTCTGACAAGGAGCCCAGCGGAGCGAGACCTCCGGCAGCCAGACAAGAGACATGCACCACATCCTGCCGCGGAACCGGAGCCATGTATGGTGAATATTGAGAGGGATTACTGCGGGTTTAAAAGAATATTTATGACAACAGAACAGGAATCGGCTGTGTGACTTCGCTCGTTGTTTCTGCATGAGTTAAATGCTGTTTTATTCAGTGTAAGGTTCAAGAATGTTGGCCCTTGGATTCTGCATTTGGAGGCGACAATAACTTTTTTTACACCTCACATTTATAATATATTTCATTTTGCATTTTGCACTTTTAAAAGCTGGCGAATGGACAAAGCGGGATACTCAGGTCAAAGAGCCATTTACACAAGTGTTTTCCAACAAAATAAATTCTATATTTTATGTATGTAGAGGACAAGGCCATGCCACACTGCAGATAATGACCAAGCTGCTGAAGCTGGGGTACCATAAAACAAATAACTATATAGAAAAGCAAAAACGTGTCTTTAAAACAATTTGCTTTTATCACATGCCTGACTTGATGGCCTCTGTCACATAACTGTCTTTTTCTCGTCTCTCTCTGGTCACTTTGGTTTCTTTATTGTCCCTCAACTCTCTCTCTTGTCTCTCTCAGGTCTCTCTCTAGCCTCTCTTGTCCCTAGTCTCTCCCTTGTCTCTACCTAGTCTCTCTCTTGTCTCTCTCTGGTCTCTCTCTAGTCTCTCTCTAGTCTCTCTCTTGTCTCTCTCTTGTCTCTCTCTTGTCTCTCTTTGGTCTTTCTCTGGTCTCTTTTTGGTCTCTCTCTTGTCCCTCAAATCCCTCTCCGGTCTCTCTCTGGTCTCTCTCTGGCCTCTGGTCTCTCTCTGGTTTACATTTTCTTAAAGCTGGGGTAAATAACCTTAAAGGTCCTATATCACGCTTTTCTTCATGTTTCACACTCAATCCTATACACATGTGTGATATTAATGTGTTTGATACACCACACAACAATCAAAGCTTGTGAGATTAGAGCCATCTCTTGTATAGAGGTGACGTCACCTCGACTCAAACGAGCTGATCCAGAGAAGAGTCTGCTCCTCTGCCTGTGAGCCCGTCCGCACGGTGACGTAGCATCACGCTTTTGTCGTTTATCACCTGTACTTAGTAATTTCATACAAAATAATAAACTTTTTCCAACAATGACAATCCGTCACATCGAGCCCTATGTCCTAGATGCACAATCAGACCCTAGTTATTTAGTTTACAGAAGTATACAGCGAGTTAGCGTCACTACTTACAGATCGAGGGGGTCCGAGTTACGTCTTTTACCGTGGGAATAACGTGTTTCCAGATCAGCTTTTGAGTAAGTCCAGTTCCATTGTCCCTGTAGTTCTGGAACAGTCTCAGTGAAGTGTCGCAGATGAACCGGTATTATAATAGATCCATGAGATGAACAGATGAAAAAAGTTGAGCCGCTTTCTTCCTCTTAGGGCCAAATAGTGTGTCACATATTTACACCCATAACACACTTCATTCAAGTTGACGTGATCCTAACACTTTTAGTTGCTGACAAAAGCATAAAAACAGCAGCTCTATGTGGTGTCCGCGAGACCAGACCACAGACGCTGGACTCGGGAGCCGGAGCCTGTGCGCTCTGATTCGCTGTTTTGATCCGTCAATCACCTCCCGCCGGCTTTTCATTTATTTTTATTTTTATTATTTTTGACAAAAAACAGCATACTAATTGTGTATTGTTTACCCCGTTCTGACAAAAGTATTTAACAACTATTTTAAATACAAAGCAAACGGGGTCATGCGCGTCATCAGTGTGGTTTTCGTCACTGAAGTGGACCCGAGCGTTTCTGTGCCTCACGCTGGGGAAGGAGACAGATTGTTCTCTTACAAAAGATTGACAGAATCAATGAATAAACTACTGTGGGCTTGTGTATGAAGGCCAAATAGCATTGTAATCCTGTTTAAAGCAGAGAAAAGTAAAAAACCGTGATATAGGCCCTTTAAGAATCCCATGTCTCTCATTTCTGGTTATTTAACAGTTAGTCTCAGTCACTAAGTTTGTAGAAATCTCAACATGAACTTTTTCAGACAGAAAATTAAAAAAGTGAATACCACGCTCATCTCTCAGCCCAAAGAGTCAAATAGTGACTCCCAGGGGCCCAAGGACAGTGTTGATCCGGGACATTTCTACACATTTATTAACATTTCTGAACGGTGGACTTCCCATGGGACCAATGGCTCTTCTGTGTTTGTAAAAATCGCATTTGTTGTGTTCAAACAGCCTGATTTTCTGATCTATTGTTGAGGAATCCACAACTGTATAAAGCCCTCAGCGACGACTACTGTTGCGATTCAGAGCTAACAAAGAAATATGTCGAGTAGACTTTCTAAAACACATTTCAAACTAAACAATTGTGCATTTTTTGTGTGTTCTTCATCGTGCAAAAGTATAAGTTTTACTCCACGCTGACCTCGAGATGTGCGTCTCTCGTGTGTGCCCGTTTGTGTGTGTGTGTGTGTGTGTGTACAAACAAGCCCAGCGTATGCATTTATATTTCTCCGCGGGGGTTCCATGGAGCTCCACGGTGTGCGCCAGGGGCAGGGGGGGGTAATGGCTAAAGTACGTATGGGACCCCCGCGTCGGTGCACCGCGTCGTGCCGACCTTCTCTATTTTTAAACCCGCGTGTTTAAAAGCTTCTCACGATACTATTGATCCCACCCCCGCGGTCCTGACCTCCCTTACGCCGGTCTCTCCATTAAGGGCCTTGCGTCGCCATCGGAGGCTTCCATTACCCCGCACAGGAAGTGGCCCGGGCCGGTCGTTCCCGCCGCGCCCGGGTCCATTGCGCAGCTGGGGATGTAGAGTTGTGTTGGAAGCATTTTCTCTGTGTGGGAGAATGTAAACAAATCACAAGAAGCAAACACGGTTTCGTCTAAAACTAAAGGAAAAGTGAAACTAAAAAAATGAGAAAAGCGGCTGCTCAAACAAAAAGCAGATTATGAAGAGGCTGTAAAACGAGTCGAGAGGTTCGTTATCCCCTCTTCTCTACGTTATTTGTCATCATTATGGCTTCAGCTGTAGTCTGTTTATTGCTATTCACCTGCTGTCTCATTGTCTGTATCCTCTGCCGCTGCATTTTACTCTGTACACACAGCTTTTGACAGCTGCAGCAGCACTCAGACGTACAACCAACGACTTTTGATATCTCTGGTCTCTCTCTGGTCTCTCATGGTCTCTCCCTGGTCTCTCTCTGGTCTCTCCCTGGTCTCTCTCTGGTCTCTCTCTGGTCTCTCCCTGGTCT